TTACCCTAAGCCCAAACATTTCCTTGGCCCATATTATCTGACTTATGATGGCCCACTAAGGCCCAAGAATCCAAAGCATGACCCAACCCGAGACCCAAAAATGCAAAGCCCAACTGACAGAGTACGCGGGGCGTACATTCACGTCCGCTAAGCGTACTAGCCAATGGTGTGTACGTTGGGCGTACCTGCACGTACGCTCAGCGTACTCCCCCTGTTAAGCCCTTTTCTTATTAAGTGCTTAATACTCCACTTCAGAAGCTACAATTACAAATCCTGGTCCTTTTCCACGTCTTAAACTATAAAGTCACTGACTTGGTGACTTTACTTGGCCCAAACAAGCCCAAACTCCCAAAATGATATTCCACTTCCATAAAGAGGGCTAGATCTCATGTATGAACCCATTAAGACATTCAAGATGGAGACTTTACTGCTTATGGGACCCTTTTAGCTCTGAGGGTGGCAACCCTAAGCTCACAAACGAGATTTCATCATAAAGGTCCATTCTTTGGACTAAAAGAGTCCATAAACTCCTCCTAATAAAGATCTAAGAGAACAATTATCAAGCTCAGAACTTTATACCTTGAAAGGGTCTGGAAAGAGGCAAAAGTCCCAGATCTACAACTTCTCCTTTGATCTACCACCTTGCTTTGCTCCTTCCTTGCTTGGAGAATAGTTTTATAACACTAAAATGCTTACTAATGGCCACCAAAGCTTCAAGAACACTCAAGGGAGGATTAGGGTTTCGTGGTGGCTGTCAAAGAGTGAAATGGAGGCTGACCCTTGAGGCTTATCATTCTTTTTATAGTGGCATGCCCTAAAATTTAGGGTTTCTGGACTCTGGACGTACGCTGGGCGTACCTCCTGTACGCTGGGCGTACGCCTAACGCACCCGCGACCTTATGACCTTATACGCTGGGCGTAACCCAGCCTTACGATGGGCGTACTCGCACGCTTACCACCTTGCATGCATGGTCCTTCTTTGTCATCTATTTCCATTAAGGGCCAATAACGTCAATAACTTCAAAGTGTCATAACTCCTTCATTCCAAGTCCGTTTCCGACGAACTTTATACCCACGAAAAGGTGGCGAGAAGCCTACGATTCTAGCGACACACCCCGGTCCAAAACCTCTCGAATAAAACTCAAAACCCATAAAAGACCAAAACGCCCCTAGCCTTGGCCTCTGAAATCCATAAATGGATACTTTCAGAACAGGGTGTTACAACTAAGATGTAAGTGATTGTTCTCTCACGAGAGTTGCCGACCATACTAATCAATAACACTATAGCTTGGAAGGTTAAGACAACAAACACTCTCACCCAAGTGTCAACTCTTAATCATGATTCACTAAAATACCCACCATTAACCGTAGACATCCATTAGTGACATGAGCATCTACAACCAACATATGACCGTGCTCCATCTACCTCCTACAAGGAGCACACACATATCTGTCAAAAAAAACATCTTGTCATAGTTTTTTTACACCGAGACACAGATCTTGTCATCTTGTACCAACACTATCAATATCACCCTTATGGGAGACTTATATTGGGAGACTTAAGTAAAGTCATAACAACCACTATACACTATTGAGTTTATACCATCTAACTTGGGCGTATGAGCGTAATCGCAAGCCTATCATGGATTACGAGTTTACGACTGTCCCTAAATTTCAAGTTGTGATCAAATGTACATGAAAATTACATGACAAAATACAGAAAATCACAACTATTTATCTACCAGAATTCGGAAAAACTCTTATATTTTGTTTATATACAGAAAAATTCTTATATTTTCAATTACCTTTCAAATTTACCCAAATATTCATTTTTTAAGAAGTTATTGGGTTGTTTTGTGACATGACATTTATCTTGTTCGTTTTTTAGATTGACATAGAAAAAAATAAACGAGGTCACTTATTTTTGCTTGAGTAAACTAAATGATATATTTCTTATGTTTTACCTTTTAACAATATGCAACACAACTTATTTTTGTTATATGTTAACCTAAAAGCGAAAAAAATAAATGTCATGTCACAAAACAACCGACACTTTCTTAAAAAACCCTCATATTTAGGTTAATGTGAAAGGTAATTGAAATTGTAAGTGTTTTTCTATGTATAAACAAAATATAAATTTTTTTCTGAATGCCCGTATATAAACGGTTATAACTTTCATTTTAACCTACACTCATCATCCAAAAGATACCTCTTTAGCAACTTGAAGCCTCATCATTCTAAACTCCCTCCCGCATTTGGTTACATCAGTAACCTTTGACAAATGCAAACTAAATTCCATAGCTATAAAATTTTAAATATAACATTAGCTAAATTATTGAAAATTAACCTAAAAAAACCAAATAAGATTCTACACCAAATAATTAATAGTATATCATTCGGTTTATATTGGTTTTTAGGTTTCGGTTAGATATAAGAGTTTTTAAGTTTTTTGTATTTTTTGTAATATACGATAGGAAATTGAGGGAATCAATCTTATTCTAGTGGACGATAAATTAAGCAAAAAACTTGGAGGAGGCAAAATCACGAGTAATTAAATCTTTCTTTCCCCCCTCTCTGTTTACTGTGCTGTTGCCTGTTGTGTGTGCTACTATTTAATTCTTACATAGATTCATCGGTATTTTTGAAGCTTTCTCTCTTCCCAACCATGGCTATCACCTGATTTATTAATAACCAAAAGGGAAAGAGCTATTTGAACAGAACGCGAGAGCGAGAGCTTGAGCGAGAGAGAGATCAAGGGTGCTCTCAAGCATTCATGGTCTCAGTTTCACGAATCCATTACATGAAAAACAACTTCTCTTTTCTTGATCTCCAAAAATGGCAACTTTGCAAGAAACCCATCTCGATTTGGAGGCCGGTGGAGGCGGCGGAAACCATACCCATCGTCAATCAATCACCACCAGTGTCGGAGACCGTAGCGCACGGTCATCGGATGCTAGTGAAGAAAGTACTACAGTCACCACTGAGATTGTAGGTGTTGTGTCGTCATCATCTTCGGAGGAGGAGGAGAAAGGGAGGCAATCCTCTGTGTCAGATTTCTCGGTGGTGGATCTGGAAAACGGTGGTGGTGGTGGGGTCCATGGTGATGGGGGCAGTAAGGTACATTTGTCAAAAATTGAAAGGGATTGTAGAATTTGTCATTTGAGTCTTGATTTAACCAATCCAGAATCTGAAAATGGGATTCCCATTGAGTTAGGTTGTTCTTGTAAAGATGATTTAGCTGCTGCTCATAAACATTGCGCTGAAGCTTGGTTTAAGATCAAGGGCAACAAGTAAGTACTCACCAAACTAATCTTCCAAGATTCCATTTATATAACTTTATACACATACCCATTCGGATCTTTCCATCTTTCATACTCAAAACCATGATAAATCCTCTCAAGATTCAATTTTTAGCGACTAAAATCCAGATTCATTTGCTTCTTTCTTGTATATATAATGTCAAGTGCTCAAGTTCCTTTTTGATTGATCTGGGTCTTTCTTCTGTATGAGAAATAACGTTGTCTATGTGTTTTTTTACGCGTTTTTGCGATTCTAAGGTTCTTGATAGTTGGATTTGGTTGACCAAAAACTTACCTTGAACAACTCTGTTTCTCTTTTCAATTATTGAGGTAATTAAGAGAAGTCCATATGCAATGTAATAAAAAGCAACAACTACAGGTTTTGGTGAAAAAAAAAAACGTTTAAATGGTGAAGAACGAGGAGTCAACACTTTAAAAATAGAATAATTCAGAAAATAAAGTGTAAAAAAGCAGGTTATAATGAAATGAACCGAATCTAATAGCTAAAAAAGGAGTCGACACCCTGTGTTCCTGTGTGTGTTTTATTCATGAAAAAAACTTTGAATTGGTTTGTTCGGCTTTAATCGTGTTGGAATTTGCTTTCTTTCTTTTCTTTTTAGCTTTCTCTTTTGTTATCTGCAAGTGGGCTTTTGACTCAAATCAACATAATCGCTTTTAAAAGCGTAAAGACTCTTTCGTATTACACTTGTTCATATGATATGACATATGATTCTTGTATTTATCCTTAAAAATGGCATCTTTCCTAATGTTGGAATCCCGGTTTCATGGACAAAGTCACCTTCGACGATCTTTTCAGTAGTTGGTTTAATTTGTTTGGTAATTTTGGAAGTTTTCATCGCATCAGGTGCTATACAACACTTAATAATAACAATAATATCAATTACACTATTTCTTAGTTTCTTAATACGTAAGTGCTTCAAGCTTTGATGCTTTTAGGGGCGTTCTTTTCTTCGTATTCTTATTCCTTTTCTTGCTTTATGTTCTCGTCTTATTGAATGGAAGTAAATTAGATCGAAGTGCATATCAAGTAAAATACAAGTAATTGGGTGGGATAAAAAATTGTAATTTTTGTCCCATCGACACCTGTCCCAAACGCAGTACAACCTGTTATGATATGCTAACTTGATTTGGTACAATCTAAAACCTAGAACATGTGAGATTTGTGGATCAATTGCTCATAATGTTGCTGGTGCGAACGAGGCTGAATTAATGGAACAATGGAATGAAGCTAACGATGCCACGTCAGCGGCTACTGCGCCTGGTGGGACCACTGCCACCTCATCAGAGAGTCGAACCTTCTGGCAAGGCCATCGGTTCCTCAACTTCTTGCTTGCTTGTATGGTTTTCGCCTTTGTCATCTCGTGGCTATTTCATTTCAATGTCCCTTCATGAAAAAAAAAAAAAAAAGTCTGCATACAGTAGTTGATTCCATCGAAGAAAAAACATTCAAAATGAGGTATTTCTATGTAGCACCAAGATATTTAAATGCAATTATATTGTTGTTTGTTGTTGTTGTGGTGGTGGATAGGCATGTATGTATGTCAGTAGAGCTTGTATTGATTTTATATCGATTGTAACTGTAAGATGTGTACGGATTTTTATTACTTATATAGTTGGCCTTGTTTCTTCTACGTCTAAAGAAGGTAAGATTTCGTATTGTGGTTCATAGTTATATGAAAACTAAACAAGCTTTATAATACTTATTTTACCATTTTATGATGTGTGATGGACAATTTTTTATTCTTGTTTTTTTATCTCAGTAAAAGGAAAGAGACTATATATACCCTTCTTTTTTTAGTAGGTATATAATACAGGCTAATGTATGACCTTTTTGAGGGCTTTTGTCGGTTATTTGTTTTATTTTCCGACTTGTTTTCAGGGTTTTGAAAGACAGATCACGTGGGTTTCTGGCTGTTTCAAGGCTGTTGTCCCTTTGGAAGGACACTTTGTTTGGGAGTGTTGTTGAATGTTGAGTGGTCTCATTGGATTTTCTTCATTAGGTAATGTGGGTTGTTTTTCCTCGGGTTTGTTTTGGATGCTTAAGCAATTAAGCATTGCTTGCTTGCTTCTTTAAGGCTGTTGCTTCTTTTGGGCCTTTGAGTGTGACCTTGGGGCTTTCTTCAATGGCTTATGTTTATGTGGGTTGATTTTCTTAGCCGATAAAATGCACAATACACAGGCTATGGGGACTTTAGTAGGTATTGGATCCAAGCAAATATTTTTATTTAATATTGCAACTTCATTATATAATATATTTGTTCACCTCTTGGATATTGATTTGAACATTTTTAAACCCGTATTTGTATTGGAATTTAAGAAAAAATGACTTGGTTTACACCCTCATTTAAATCGGGCGTAGGGCATTAATCAAGTGAATTGTCAATTAATACGAGATGTTGTATTCATTCTACTTGGTACCTATATCAAAACAAATTTCTGACCTAAAGAATGACACAAGATATCCTTACAATTGTTTAAATAAGAAAGTAATACACTGTTAAGTTTTACAATACTATTTTGTAACTCTCTAAATCCATGCATCATCGATAAAATTTCAATATGAAAATGTGTAAGAAAAAAGATGCACCATAACAAATAGAACAAATTGGGTAGAAAGTCAAATTTTCACAACAATATTATTAGAAAAAAGATGCACCATAACCAGGGGCGGACCCAAGAATTTTCCGAAGAGGGGGCAAAAAAATTTTATAACTTTTTAAGGGGGGCAAATTTTTTTGATGAGTAAAAATATATAATTTTGAAGGGTTAAAATATATATTTTTTTAAAAAAACCTATTTTTTAATGAATTTTTTTTTTGTTGTGGGGGCAATTGCCCCCGCTGCCCCCACTGTAGGACCGCCCCTGACCATAACAAACAGGGTCTACCTTTACAATAAAACTCAAGTACTACACTTTTGAAAACTAAAGACAACCACGAGAATTCTTGCCTTTGGGTTCTCCATGCTACTCCACTCTTTACATCACACTTAGGAAATATTTCATTATAGTTTCCAAGTGTTAATCCCATCCCTTAAGTGTCTTTCATTCTATTTCGTGTTTGTCCTATAGTTTTACAATATACCAATCTACTTCGCTTCTTTGTTCAATTATAGCAACCCATTTTGCTTTTTTGTTCAGTTATGCAACTTACTTTGTTGTTTTGTCCATTTTCAACATAAAACAAATACTTATTCCTACCATTTCCGTTCTAACTTATTATACAACATGTATATACATGCTTCCAACAATGATTTGACATATAAGACACAAATCAACGCATTTACATTATCAAATCTTTGAAACCCATTTTATTCCACTTTGTGACATACAAGGCATGTACCTTAGGTTTTTCACTAACTCTTCCTAATTTTTTAGTACCATTATAACCAAATCTTCTATTAAAAATGTTCCATACTCAAAATATCTTAATCATATAATTTATAAGAACATTGACATGTTATCTCATATTTTCTCTATTTGGCAATTTCTTCCATTTTATCCCCAAATATCTAAAGCACACACATATTCTTGATTACTGCCTACATATATATTAATTCA